ACTCACGAATCCAGCTAGCTAAGTGTTTCAGACCCTATATGTGAGAATTTTGCACCTAAAATCTTCCTGCAGTTTAGTATATTCCCAATGTATGCATGCATTATTTAAGCTACAGACGTACTTCAGAGGGACACAGAGGTTGATGGCATTTGCAGTGTTGCAGGAAGTATTTTAAATATTTATGATCCTGCAGTTTCTGCATGTATCACAGAATAACTGGTATGACTTATTTAACATAATGAAGTGGGAAGAAAATGCTCACAAGAAGACTCGAGGGAAATCATTTACCAAGCACCACCTCAACTAAAGTTGTGTGCATCCCATCCAGTACTAACATGACTCATAGAGTACGTTTGACTTAATCTGAAGCTAAATGCAGTGGTCAGATATCGAGTGCTGAGGGGAGGCTCTTCTAGCAAACTGAGATGTTATTGATATATCTGTTTTTGGGACTCAGGTGAGATTTCCTTATCTCTTCTATAAAAGCAATCATACGTGCAAAACTTTTAAAACCTCAGTTCAGTAAACACATGTAGACACACTCTTAAAGGCTCTAATATCTGCACAAACAGAGGATCTGAGAGTCCACGCGAGGGGATTTCCCAGATATTCACCAGATTCCCCCTAGTAATCCAGAGGGATTACCATTCTATACCGGGGGCCATAACCTCTGAATTTAAAACATTATAAACCCCCTACATCCCCTCCACTAATACCACAGTTAAAACCAAGGACCACATCCAAAACAAAAACAAAAAAAAACCTTCTATCTTGCCTGTCCTGGCTACTCAGTTGAGACTCTGGCCGCACCTCAGACACACTTTGGAGGATTAAGAGGGATGCCACGACTCATGTTTTATCATGTTAGACATCTGAGTAATCTCAACATGGAAACTGATACCTGGAAAATTTATATTACTTGAAACATTGTCGATAAAATCTGATCCAGATATTCCATCAAATATTTTTTTTTCTTTTCCTGGCTCCATATTCACGGTATGGGATGTATACTTACACTTGGAAGGCATGTAGATTAAACCATTCTGTTTTCAATTAACAGTCCGCCTTAAATCGCAGAATCAGATTAGTCTTTTAGGATTTCAGTGTGGCACGCGTGTCAGATAGCGACTGGGTAAGCATGCAAACTCGTGTAATTAATCAAGTGAGCCGCCGTCCTATCAATCTCACATTACCAGAGAAATTAGATCCTGGCACGGCAAAGAAGCTTATGGTGCACAGCAACTAAATAACCCAAGGGAGGAGGGGTGTCATGATTTAAAAAAATGGAACATGAAACAAGACTAAGAGGCGTCCAAACACATTTATTTTAACAAATATGAATTCTAGGTAAAAATTTAGATCATCATTTTATAATTTATGGAGGAAGAAAATTGTGTCTCATGATTTAACTGTTTTTTTCCCCTTCAAGTTCAGACATCAAAAAGCCCCCCCCCACCCCCCCTTTTTTCCATTTCCTCTTTTTACACACACAATTACACTCACACGCTGTGTATTTGATAAACCTGGGGAAAGGAGAAGTGGAAATGTTTTCCAGATGAACTATGCAAATAAGACCTTATCCCCCGAGAGACACTGTAAACGGCTTCAACCACCAACAGAATGGTGTGCTCATATTCAACACAAACATGCCTCCAGCTAGTTGCAAAGGAATTAGATAATTACAACAAAAATAAACAAACTACTGGGAAAAAAAAGAATTGAGACAATGTCCACTCTGGTCCTCCCCCTCCCCTCCCCCCCCGCTGTCAGCAAGCGAGCTTGTGCCGATCGTGGGAAAAGATTTTCTTACGGACAGATCCTGACTCTGGCAATCGGAACAAAGATGGCTGCCAGACATGGAGCGCGGTCCAAATTCTTCAGTAGGAAGTCACAAGTTCAAGTTCAACTTCTATCTGATAATTTCTTGGCTGGAAAAAAAACAGGGGGGGAATGAGTGATCCTGGGAAACAGCAAGGATACACAGATTTCCTTTTCTGGATATTTGCCTGCCTGCCTGCCTGCATGTCATATCTCTATTTACTGAAATCTTTTTTTTTTTTACTGGAATATTCGAACAAATGGATGGTGAGTGGAACATGACAGTCTAAGAGAAATGAATACAACCGTTTCTTCATTCAGGGGCAATCCCATTGGACTGTTTTCCATCCATGTGCGTGATGCACCAGGATCTATGAAACACCAGGATTTGACTTCCTTCATGTCTACTACCCATCAGACCCAAAACAAAAAGAGAGACTGAACAGACACACTGTACTGAACCAGCTTCTAGACAGAGGGAGCATTGTGACTCTGGGTTATTTTAGTGTTGTGATGCTGTGTCTCGGCTTTCATGCGCCGGACTAGGACTCATCAAAAAGATAAAAAAGGAGCTGTGACACACTGTTGTTCTCACAGAAAACAGATGAGGCCTTGGTTTTTAATCCTCAATATGCTGTAGTAGAGTCTAAATGAATGGAACATCAGGGTTTAATGAATATGTATGACATATTTGACATCATGCAGAATTTTAAAACATGTACATAACTCTTCAGTGGAGCTGCGTTGCTACGAAACAACTGGAGAACCAGCTTCCTGTCTGTAATTAGCAAAACAATATATTACAGGAAATAAACTTTGGGTGTTTATCTTGTCAAGTCTGAAACGATCTATGAGGATAATGAACACGCTGATGATTAGTTTTGCTTAATAACACTTCACTTGACATTATTAAGAACAAACTGATGGTTCATAAAAGACTTGCAAGTTGCAGGGAAGCTATTTACAAGGGAATTCAAACCACCTGTGCTTGCTACTCTTTCCTTTCCCCATGTAGGATATCTTGCCTTTGGGATCGGGGTCACATGGTGAGATTTGGAGAGAGAAAAAACCAGGAGGTAGAAACCATCTAATGTACAAGGATGAAATCAATGAAAATCAAAAAGCAACATGAGAAATGACACAGCAGCAGCAAACACCTCCCCGAGACACCGTCTGCCCTCACACGCCTGTCGGTACACTCCCTATTTAAAGGGTCATACCACCAGAGGGAAAATGTGTGACTGCAGGCTGTTGAGTCAATATTACTCAGCCCTCGGTGTGTAAAGGTGTGAACATGCAGCTGCAAACTCTCACAGGAGTAATAAGATCACAGTGTGTGTGCAAACAACATATCGCAAAATGTTGCACAGCAGTGCTGGTTACGGTAAGTCGACATACAAGGCGTAAAAAACGATCACCTTGACATTATGTGTCGCAGGCTGGAGTGCGTGGTGTCCTGATTGAGTCTGAAGGAGAGTTGAAAGCAGAGCAGGGAGAGTTTAATAAGATATGAAGGGGTAATTTAAGCAGGCATTAAAAAAGCCAAAATAGAAGGAAAAGAGACACTGGGGAATGAGTTTAGGTCAGAGCACTCATGGAGAGGAAGTGTATTTGCAATTCAGGAGGTAGAAAAGCAGTAGAGAAAGTGAAAACTGTTTGATAAAATGTGAACATACACAGTCAAGTCCCCTCTTTTGTTCTTCTCTCTCTCTCCGTTGTGAGTCTGGGTATCTCATTAACAATATAAGAGGAAGCTGGGCACACCAGTCTAGAACTAGGGCTATCCCCATCCTGCAGCCTGACACACTGACCCCTAATTCCCTGCTTTTTGTAACTCCTACCACTATGAACTGCTTCATTGTGGACTGAACCTCCATAATCGGGCCAAGCAGGGCGATATTGTTGCTAGTATAGCCAGTTAAAGCAAACACTGAGAGGATGGTGAGGAAATAGTTTAAAGGCCTAGGTTTGAAAGGAATGTTTTTTTTCTTCAGATGTCTGAAAGGGGAGTGGTGTTAAGGAGAGATTTGTTTCAGGCAGGTCTTCCATAGTATTCAGTTTCCTCTGATTGTGTTGCCCTCCCTCTGGATGCTTAAAAAAAAACATATCTGAAGGCAAAAGTTGGAATAACAATCCAGCTTGTTCCCCTCTTGAGAATAAAAAAGGGAATAAAGGCAGGATAACTTACATTGTGTGTTTTGTGTTTGTATTTAAAAGGTTGCTCTGCATGTCCAGTACCAGGCCTCAGTCTCTCTGTGGTTTGTCCTGCGCTGTGCCAGATGCAGCACACAGGGCAGGTGAGACGCCTGGGGAATACTAATGCCTCCATGTAAAGCCCTGAGTACCAAACCAGACATGGTGAAGGGAATACTGATAGGCTATTTTGCTGAATCACAGCGAGAAAAAAAAACAGTGGCTTTTCAACAAAACAATTACAAGTCACAAATCATTCACTAATAAAGACACATCAAGTGCGTCAGAAGTTTCCAGGGAGCTAGAACAAACATGTCGACCGGTGTGGAGGCACGGTGACTGACCAGAAGAGCCGAACTGTTTGTCTTTTGTGTTTTGTATGCAAGTATCGTCTCTCACATATCCATAGAAACACTTAAAGGCTTAACAGCTCAGTTACCGGCCCCCTAATGGCCCCTAGCAACACAACTTCCTGTTAAGGCTCTGTATCCTTCCTGAGGACGACAGAAATTACAAAAGAGCCCTCCTCATCACGCTGCAACAAGGTAAAACAAAGCTGTGTTTTTTTCTATATGCAACAGATGAACTTGGCGGGACAGAACTTCACATGCATCTTTGTGTGTCCCCATTTAACAAGCAGGAACACCACCGCAAAGGGCATCCAACACAGTTCTGTCCTCCATGCATATACCAAAAGCATGGTCTATCGCCTGAAGAACATACCTGGATGAAAGTGCATCTAATGTTCTCTGTAAGCCTTTCTCTTTCTCTTGTCGGTCTTTGCTGAAGACTGAAATTATTCTTTTGCGACAGCTACTTATACAGGATGCCCCAACTCTTCAGTTTGCACTAGTTGCAGATAGATGATATCGCTGCACATAGTGTCATTTCTGAAAGAAAAATACCCCATGCAAGGGCGACAGCTTGAATGTAGGAAAATCTAATTAGTTAATTTTTCTTTGTGTGTGTGTCTGTGTTTTGCAGCCTACCTGGTAGAGTGGCCTTGAAACACACCTGTGTGTGTGTAACAGATGCAGGGGTGCAGGAAAGTTCCTGACGTGCACGCGGAGACGACGGAGGGCAGTTGAGGTGAGAGTCCACAGCAAAGCCTGCCGAGTGCAACCGGCCTCGTCTAGACCCAACAAGACCGCCTCCATAACTTCACTCACACAAACTCTTTGCGACGGCGGAGGTGCGTGTACTTTGGTATCATTCTGACAAACCTTTTCTGCAGAGATGAGCCATGACCGGTAAAAAAAATCCACAGAGGCCCAGCAGACATTAGCCTTTATTTATCCTCTTGAAGCCACTTAGCTCCGCTTAATATTAATTGTGCCATCTCTATAGTTTAACCATAAACAGACAGGACAACCCGGTGGCTGTCTCCTCTCCTTCTCTCCTTCTCTCCTTACTCCTTCCCCTCGCAGTTCTCAGTCTCTCTGGGATTTCAGCAGTCTGATGCCTCCTCAAGGTCAAACTGTGCTAGTCCTCCCTGTCCCCAGTCCTCAAACAGCCAGAGATCTCTGCTGACTCTTTCTCTCTCCTTCTTCCTCCTCCCTTTCTCTCTCTCTCTCTTTTCTCCCCCCCTGAAGCAAAGCACCCCTCTGTCCATTGGTCAGAGCGCCACAAACACAAACATTCCTACAGAGGGAAATGCAGCCGGTCTCTCTGAGTGGTAGTTGTTGTTTTTAAAGCGATATGCACTCTGTCATACTGCTGCTGACATGAGAAGCAACAACAGCACTCTCGTACACTTGTGTCACTGTGGTTGTACATTATGAATGCCTGTCTTTAAAAAAAGAATCTCTGAAGATGATGCACGCTGAAAAACATACACATGCACATTCATGCTTACTGAAGACAGGGGTCTACGTGCGTGCACAAGCAGACAAGCTCACCTTAAAAACGCTGATATTTTCTCCTCCAAAGTCATGACTATGCTTCTTTTCTAGCAGCACTTGGATTGATGCCAGAATGGTTTTAAAAAAAGGAGGTTTTCATTTTCAAGCCAGTTTTTCCCAGGATGGAGTCTCCTGACCTGACCTCGTTCTTTTCAGACTTTAAAAATATATGCAGTGAGTCATCTTGCTTTTTCTACACGTTCCCCGTCATAGAATGTGGAAAGCATACAAATATGAATGTCAATGTCAAACTGTGATTATTTGAGACAGGAATGCACAATGAAGCTTATCTTACGGTTGCTCACACACACGCACACAGACACCTTTTTGAAACAATGGCCACACGGAGGCAACACAAGCACTGCATACAACCTGTGCCAGGACTACAAGCTGTGCATGCATCCCTGCCAGTCTCTGATAAATGTTCGGGTTGACAGGACTTCTAAAAATGACTAAGATGATCAGTGTTCTCGGAATGACAGGAATTTCAAGGATGATTATAGAAAGGAGCGATGAGACATTCTTTTGTAGCTCCAAGAGGCCGCTGCTGATCCTAAATAAGTCTAAACATTGAAACTAAAAAACACAATATTTATCTTCAATATATAACCTTTATTTTTGTATTCATAGCAAAAACTGATCCCGTTTAAAAAAAAAAGTTTTATCTCTTTTCTTCTGAAAGTGGTGATCAATAAAGAATTCAATAATTCTGTGCTGCACTGTAATTCTCTGCCTGCCTTACCAAACGCAATCTGACTGTGGGTGGATTAAATGTCCTCTCGTATAGCCCACTCTGATTCATGGAGGGGTTTATCGATGCAAAAGAGTCAGCTCCTGCGTTGCTGAGTAGGATGTGTGTGTGTGTGTGTGTGTATGTGTGCATCCCATGCCTAACACCTTGATGAAAGAAGAATGCACATGAGTCATAGTTTTTTGTTTTAGCTTAAACTTTCTATCGCTTTAAACGCTCTTCTTTCTTTTTTTTACTTGCACAGATAACTTTTCTTAAGATATCTTTTCGCATTTTTAAATATTCCTCACTCCTTTCACGGCACCAGTTTCCCATTCCTCTCTCTCTCTCTCTCTCTCTCTCAGGGCCTCATGTTGCTCTCCCAGTGATGTCTTGAGAAACCCATGAGGAATGTGGGGCATTCCTGTAGTGTGAATTTTTTCCCAAAATGAATCAGGGTTACACACAACGCTGCAGAACGTTTACCTTTCTCAGCCACTGTAATTTACGAGGGGGTGTAAATATTTGTTGTGGAAAGGGCGGGAGCTTTGGTATGACAGTGAAACGTTCCCATGATTCCCATGTGTGCGCAATGTCCCCCTGAATCCTGGGAAAGGTCACGCAGTTCCCTGTGATGTAAACAGTCAAGCACTGGAGTGTGGGCTGGCCGGATATCGCCATAGCAATAAGAGAGGAGAGAAGAAGAAAACACTGTTTTGGGGGTTTGACAGTCAGCTGCTTTTAAGTCTTAATCTGCAATTTTTCACACTTAAATATAATATAAATCAAGTATCTCCTCTGAAAATAACTCTGTGAGTCATGACTGTCTACAATGGGTGTAACACCCGAGTCCCACTG